AGTAATGAAAAACACTGTATTATTGTATACATGGTTTTCTGGATATACACAACTTTCTTGAATATATGTGGATAAATGAGATAAATATATGTATATGTACAAGTCCTATATACAAAAATATTTACAAATTTTTTTCGATTTCATAGCATCGTGAAATTTTCAAATCATGTCACATCTTTTTGATAGAATCATAAACCAACTTTGCAGGTTTTGAACAAAAAACTTGTTTTGTGCGGCTTCTGTTCCGTGCAACAATATGTTTAGAATTCCAAGTAAAAGAAACTCTTTCCGAGGAGGAAAGAGTTTTCCTGCCATTTATGGAAAATTAATAATAAAAAATTAACTGCAATTAATATTAACAATAAAGAAAAATAAGCTATAAGATATACATACACAAAAAAATCTACACAATTATTGTAAATAAATGGGAATGAGACTGAAAAGCGATAGCAAAATAATTCGTGCAGCTTCCCTAAGTAAAGATGACTCAAGCTACTGATAAGATTCCCCCCTGAAAACTACTCACAAAAATTTCAAGATGCCCATATTAGGACTTCCATAGAACAACCAAACTTCACCCCTCAAGACTGCTTTGTTTGAATCCATTTCCCCAAAACAATGCAAATAGAAAACATATACAACAGATGTCTTCTCCTTAGACAGATGTTCTGATGTGTAATAGCGTGAGATCGCTAAAGGCGCAGTGTTCCCGCTAATGGAACACCCAGTTTTAGTCAATGATTCTGTGCATGCTTTTTGTATGAAAAATGTAAAAAAATATATAACAAATAATAGAGTACGACCAAAATCATATGGAATGTTTTTTTCAAACAAATGTTTTTGTATCACAAAAAAATATAGAAAATAAGTGGATTTTAATAACACATCATAAATGAAAATTCTGGGTCTCCTTGTGATATGCTGCCATCGACTATTTAAAAAGAGAAGTTTGAAGTATATTATAAAGGCATCCATTTACGGTTGAATTTAACGGTTTCAGAAGCGATTCAATTTGGGTGTTCCATGTAGTGTAACACTGAGCAACAAAGGGTTAAAATTTACTTCATAATTTTTAATATAGATAGTTTGAGTTTTTATGTTTTTTGCCTTGTTGCGAAGTGAGAACTGAATTAATTGAATGAGAAATACTGAATCATCTGTGAAAACTGTTTCTTTTTTGGTTTGTGTGCTTAATTTCTTTTATACATCATTCTAGATTTATTATAGTATTTGAACGGAACATGTGGCAACGATTAGATAATTCTTCAAATGATATAAATTTTGTGCATTCTGAGTTGTAATATGAACGAAATATAACGCTGTTAAGTAAACCTAGCACCAGAGTGTCGCTATGGTAAACAAATAATATAGTGAATTCTAAAGAGTGCATTTATTCTATTGCATCTAATGCGCTATCGATGAAATTGATTTAATTCAACCCAATAAGTTTAAATGAAATGCAAGAAAAAATGTGTATAATTTAATATTCCATTCAAGGAAGTCATGTGGTGTACACATCAGATTTTTTGGTTATAGGATGATTACATGCATATGAATGGAAAAAAAGTAACTTGGGTATATGATATTTACATTTCATATTTACACTTTAGTCTATTTTTTCATGGTGGTACTTCTCGAAGAAAGTGACATCACCTGTAAAAAAGCACAACCCAATATTGCATTTTTTGCACATGTACCAGGATCCATATCAGATTGATTATCTGAAAGCAATTCATGTAGCACTTTCAGTGCTTTAGAAAGGGTCAGCCCTCTCCGATCCCTTTAGAGGCCCACCAGCGGCCGAGCGGTAAAGTCGCTGAACACTGGTAGTTCAGTCCGAGGTTCGAATCCTGCGAACGGGCTGGCTGCATGGGTGTTTTCGTGGTTTTCCCCATGTGTAACGTGTATACGAGCCAGTTTCCATTAGAAAGTCCTCCACGAAAGCATCCCTCTCCTTAGGCAGATAGCCCTAGTGTGCTTTGCCAAAATTAAATACACCACCACCAATCCCTTTAGAAAATAATTAAAAATCCGAAACAAATAAACTAATATTATATCTACAATTAGAAATTATAAACTATAAAATAAAATTAAATAAATGTCTACAACTCAAAACTATTAAACGTAGCACTAAGAAAACTTTGAACGAAAGTGAAAGAGACTGCTCTAGGGAAAAAATCAAACAGCTAACTGATAAAATTACCCTTGACCTTCAGAAAATCACCCTAACAATTTGTTAGTTGATAACCAAAAGTCCCCTCCCTCCCCCCCCAAAAAAAGGGGGTAAGGAAGAGAAAAACAGGAAATGAAACACAGATGTGGACCCACCTTTCTGTTGTCAGTGACCTGACCGAAGATATGCGTAGAAACAAAGAATACGGGCTCTCAGTTGTCCTAGCTTTTCGGTGAGCCTGATCTGGGAACACCTAGGTTCAGCGTTCGATTTTAGACAAGATTTCAAGGTAAAAATTTAAAACTAATATAGAATAAGGAGATTAGCATTCAGCCCCCCCCCAAAAAAAACATAGAAATTTATTTTCAAACGATTCCTTCTATACCTAAAAAAATCTGGAAGATTTCTTTGAAAAATGAGGGTGATTGGTAAAACCATCGAAACTAGTCCTGTGAAAATTTTGTAAATATAACGCTGATGTTTGTTGTTTGACTTCTGAATTAGTATTTATTCGGCGTATTATTGTGTCTTAAATATATGGACGTGTTTGTGTTCAGCTGCCATCTACTTTAAATAGAGAAGGTTCAGAGTAACCTATAAATCCTTCATTAAATTTTTCTGTGCATACAGAAGGAAATTTTTAGGTGTGGCCAGAACAGGCACACCATGCCGCAAAGTGTTAAGAGGTCCTTTTGAGAACTGCATTGTAACATTCAAAATTGAGATAATAATAGGAGTCGATAGCTCTTGTGTCGTATCGGTTCTTCATCTTCTCCATTGCCAAGTTGACTCGCTCTCGTGTAAAGTTGTGCATCACTTCAAACTGGGCCTGCAGATCTTGGATGTCTTCCTCAGGCAATAAAGGTGTATCTGGAGGGTGTCTAAACAAAAGATCACAAGGCAGACGAGGGTCACGACCGAAGAGCATCTGAGATGTTGTGTGTGTACGAGTTTGTAATGGATTGAATACACAAATCCGATAAAAAGTTAATAAAATTTATTCTTATCACAAGAAATAAAACAAAATGCTGAAATTTTTCCTCCGATATATTTGTGTAATATCACGCAGTATAATCAGTAGCTATATTTTAAACTACTAAAATGTTAAATAGAACATAATTCAAAGTGCAGAGAAAGCTAATCCGATCTCACCTTGAATTTACTACAATCAATAACAAAAATTTAGTAAACAATTGAGGAGATGTTTTTCTCCAGCTTTTTAATGTCATAAGAAGCTTCCGTTTTCTCGACATTTCTGGAAAAGTAGAATTACGAGATATCAATTTATTAAATGTTAAATGCGCATGCTTCTGTATTTTTACATTTCCGGCGTAGCTTTTTCTTAAAATAAGTCTCATGCTTCATTGCACAGGGATATAAATCAATTTTAATTATAATTCTACTAAAAATAGCAAACTAAATACAAAGTCAGTAACAATATGTTACTGCATTAGTGGTTAAGGGAGAGTTGACAGTTAAGTCAAAAGACCATTGTTTCTTGTTTAAGGGGGTCCTTTTGAGTATTGCATTATAACATTCAAAATTAAAATAATAATAATTCTATGAAAATATATTTCATTTATTGATTTATTGTTATAAATGCCTCAGCAGCCTTTTTTTTTTTTTTTTTTTTTTTTTTTTTTTTTTGCATGAGAGAGTGAAAGAAACAACTACTCATAGGTAGAAATACTCTTGATTCTGAACCAGCATACCCTACAATATACTTTACTCTTTACAAAAAATTATTCATTTGTATAATTATAACTATCATGCATACAAATTAAATTTTTGTACTTTCCACTTTTAAATTACATTACTCATATTCAGTTTTATTGTAACTACTCACTTTTAATGTTATTGCATGCATATGGGCTCATAATGGACTGAATGCATACAATACCAGTGAAAGCTTGACAAAATTTATTTTCTCACAAGAAACACTTTACAGTTGTGGAACATTCCACAAAAAGTACTCATACAACTCTTCTTAGTATAATAGAGCACAATCAGTACTTACAGCTCAAACTACTAAGAATTTTAAACACAGCACAGTGCAAAGCTCATTCAAAAGGCGAAGCTTGCATGGAAATGTCTCAGTACTCCAAAGTCAGCTCTGAACTAAAATTTAGGAAACTAATGCTCTTTTCAGTCTTATATAGTTTTCCTCCAGTCGCCAAGATGTTTCCAGTACCTTCCATTTCTGGAAATTACTGGAAGACATATACAGTTAAAGTTACATATAAGGACTGAATACTGTTAGTTACATATAGTTGTATACACAGTTACATATAGGAATTAAATACAGTATCAAAAAGAGTTATATAGGGACCAAACCAGTTGGCCAAATTTGGCAGCAGAAACATTGCACACACATTTAGTTCAACCAGCTCTCTGCATCTCGTATTTCTGCTTATATCAAAGTGTTTGGTACATTTTAATATCATAGAAATATTAGTCTTTTTCTTGACCTAAATGCAGAAACTTTGTGAAGGTGAGCAATCCAGCTTCTGATCTAAGAGTTGATTTTTATATTAATAAAGCTTCTGGCCGATTATAGGTTGTCAATCATCAACTTTTGTGGAAGTTTTGGTATGTATAACTTTTGGTAATATGGGAGGTCAACATCTCCAACCTCTGCATTGTTTCAAAAGTATATCATTATTTGTTATTGCTGTTGACCTTGGTTATATTATGTACTTCTTATTCAAATAAATTTAGTGTAATATAAAAGATATATCATATTTATGATGTGAGCTTCTGCAGTGTGCTTACTGATATTCATTGTTTGTAAATAGATTTATGTTTTCAGTTATTATTTCTGTATTAGGTTTTTGAAGACTTCCTATATACTTGCTCTAATGACTTCACAGCAAAAAGATTCAGTTTGAAGGTAATTTCATATATGAAGATAAGTCACATTTCAGTTCAAACGTTTATTTGTTTGTTTTTAGACCTTTAGAGTAATATTTGTTAAATATTATTGCAAGGAAAATTGCATAATAATATGATTTCAGAGGAGTTTTAATGATTGGAATGACTTAATTGATGTGGTGTTCTACTCAATTAAATTTTAAATTCTAATTGCATTTCATATAAATTTTAGTATCTAATTATTATTATTACTATTCGCATTTTCTAGGCTCCTACCAACATCGTAAGGTACCGTTGCAAAGCACGGAATGTTACAAATTTAGCTGTTGAAAATGTACATAGTAGGACACTAGTATTTGCATCAGGAAATACTGGGTTTCTTACAGTTTACCTTGCTAAGGTAATCATTTTTTTGTTTTTATAGGTTGTGGTGTTAAGGGCGCCTCTTACTAACCTCATTCATTAAATTTAAAACCATATGTTATTGAAACCTAATTTTAACCAGTCTGACCCTCCCCCTCAAAAAAAAAAAAAAAAAAGAATAGTCCAAGAGGGAAATAAAACTGAAATATATTTTGACAGTAGTTTATATATTAGATGACAGTGCGAAATAATAATAAATTCTTTACTGTGAGAGTATTTATTTATAAAACCCTTGGCTGCATAAGGAGGTAATTTATTTAATATATTGTAAGCCTCGGATAAAATTTAAATCATGTGGTCATCATATATGAAAGAAGGTGGGATTAAAAGCATTGCCATTTTAAATGCATTAAAATATGACACAGAATACTGTATATATGTGAAAATTAGAGCCCTCTTAAATTTTAAGAAATAAAAATTTAAGTAAATATTTAATGAGAGCATAAATCTGATTAAGATCCATCTGTTTTTGATCAGAATGAAAAGCTGTCTACCTAATTAAATAAAATAAAAAAAATAAAATTTTGCTATAGTCTTTTAAGAAAAATTAGTAAAAATTAATCTACATTTTTTGTTTTCAAGTAACCAGTGTGGATGCAAATCTAAATTGAAATTCTCAGCTGGACATAGCTATTATAATTAGCAATAATTATGGATTTTATGATAGTTAAATTTCTTCATCTTATTCTACAATTTCATTAATTAAAATACCTCATTATAAGAGCCTACAAGTTTTGGAGGGGGGAATGTAACAATAGAAAGAAGGTCTTTTTTTCGGGTAGATATGGTATATGCTTTTATCAAATAATCAAACTTTCTTTTATAGTAATCTTAAAATTAATTGCAGTTTTTTAAACCAGGCAGAATGAATGAAAAATGTGTTAAAGCATTATTTTTTTAGCATACACAGTACAAAGTCCTAAATCTGGATGTCCAATAAATGGAATTATTTGTTATCTGGACTTTTCATAAAGAATTTTCTTTTTCTCTTGAGGTGTAGGAAAGGAGAACATGATACTCAAGAAGAAGAAAATGTGTTGTAAATAAAGTTTTATCTCTAATAGGTGAGATTTTTTTTTTTTTTTTTTTTTTTTTTGAGGGGGGAGAAACAATATTATCTTCAATAATATTGATCATTCTGCTGGTTATTTAGTTTTTAAACACTTGCCAGCAAGTAAATCACATTTTCCTTTTCAGCCTTTGAGTAGTTGTGGGAGGACATTTTTCTGTTATATCTAGCCCTATACGCAGTAAATGAAGTCCGAAGGCCATTTATTTTGGCATGAAATGTTACACATACTGGTTTTCTTTTGCTGGTAAAGCAGTGAAGAAGAAAGAATTAATTTCGGATGCATTTGAGCTTAGTTATCATTACAAATTGCACTCTTCTTTAGCTTTCTGATTAGACCCATCTCTCTTTGTTCAATCTCAACAAATGACACCATCTTGCTAGGTCTCATTTGTTGCTCTTTCTAACTTGACTGCCAGTTTTTCACCAACCCAAGAGGCTAGGACCTCATTTTTCTCTTCAGTTAAAGATTTTCCTTAAGGAGCACTGTGGTTATGTATGCTTGATTTCCTCATTCGGAGATTACTTGAGATGCCAGAAATAGCATGATAAAATTCACCCTAATGCCTGCTTATATTAAAGAAAGTTTATCTAAGTATCTATATTGCCATAGTTCTGTGCCTAACAAAAACACAGGTTTCTTTGTATAATAATTGTAGTTGCAGGCTCATTTACATCTCTATTCTAGTGCATTGTAAGCAAAATGCCCTAATGCTGCTCTAATTATGAATAAAAACTTGGTTCTCTAGTCATACTATGCGATCACTTTCTATTCTTAATGTTGCATGTGAACGACCAAAATGGACTTCGTATCAACTCGTTGACCACCCCTGGTATATGCGGTCTAAATTTTTTATGACTGACTAATATGTTCTGAATGCACTATATTGAATGTTAGTTCAGTTTCCTAGTAATTTAACTAATATTTATATTGGGGGTGTTTTCATTTTGTGTGCCATCTACAGATACCTCAGGAAGATGACAGATGAGTTATGTAAGTAGCTTACAAAAGTTAAAAATAAGTTTTTTACTACATTACAAACAAGCCAGTTCTGCCAGTTTTTTACTGCACTTTCACCAAATCTATTTATAACGTATTTTTCTTATTCTGAAAGTCTTTCACTGCTTTACAGACAGGCCAGCTTTCCCATTTTTTACTGCACTTCCACCATTTATTGCTGTTATGTTATACTTCCAAATGTCTCGAGATGCAATGACTAATGTGAATTTTTTTTTCCTTTATTAGCTTGTGTTCGCCTTTCAGAGCATTAGATTATGTAATCTATGTTTTGGGGAAATCTGCCAACTTTTGGCTCTGAAATTTTGATTATAGTCGTACTAATGTTGATTACTGTTATGTGAATGCTTATTTTTTCCATTCTCCTAATAAACGCTTGTTATCCCTGTGATGAAGTTATAATTAAATTTATTTTATAACACATGTTTGTCTTGTTCTTAAAATTTCTCGTGATTTATTAGTTCATTTTAATAATTCACAATATCTGCCTAAAAAATGTGTTTTTCACCATCTAGAATCATTTGCTTTTTTCTTCTGATTACCTAAATTTTTTACCACAAAATTTTGCTTAACTCCTACCACTACACGGAGAGTATATGTGTTTGAAATTGGCGTTATCCAGTTATCTATTGAGCATCAAGTGCAGCTGTAGGTCATCTGCGTATATCAGTCAATGTCCAGAGTAAGATTGAAGCAGTTCTGTGCATTTCTGGTGTCACAAAACAGTTCCCACTTTTTTTTTTTTTTTTTTTTTTTTAAAGTTGGATGACTTTCCTTATTTCATCAGCCTCATTGCAATTTTCTGGTTTCTTTTAATAGAAGCAGAAGATGTATTTAAACATATATTCACAAACTTTTCTGTATGCATAAAGAACCAAAAAGTTACTATGCAGAATGATCTGTTTTCTACTCTGAGTATAATCTATGGATACTCAGTGGAGTCTGATCTTAATGCTCTATAAAGCCTTAGTTGGAAAAATGCTAATGAATAGTGAGCTTTCTAGAGGAGGGGTTCTAAACTGGAGAGAATGCAATCAGCCTTTTATTTAGCTATTAATATTTAGTTTTAGTTTATGAATATAAAAAGCTACCTATATTCAAGTTTTGGTAATTATCAATGTTTTCCTATGCTATTTTTCTAGTTTAATTTTTAAAAAGTTAAAAAATTAACTAAATCAAAATAGATGTATATATATTTTTTGAGTTTGGGAAAAGGGCAATGGTCTTCAAACTCTGTCGATTCACAGAACTCTTAGAACTATAAGCATGGTTCGTAGTGGTCCTTGCAAGTGCTTATAAGTCCTTATATTTGAAAATAAAATATAAAGGCCCTTATAGATGCTTACTTTTTCTTTAAAGCCCTTATTTTTTTGTTTTTAGTGCTTATTTTTTGCTTTTAGTGCTTTTTTTTAATCCCCTTTTTTTAATGAACACGCATTTTTTTCCCGTACCAAGGCCGAAACTAAATTTATATGCAACGTTAGATGGTGAATCATACTCCCGGAAATTGCTTTTCCCCTTTTCTCTGCATTAACATAACCTATGGTGTGCGCGAGGGTACAGACAGGTGCACGTCGTTCTATTGGTTAAAGAATTGCGAAAACGGTAGAAAATTCCGGTACATTCGGTATTCTTTTCCTCCCACCCAAATACTGCACACGTTTGGATTTCTATCAAGATTTTAATAATTTGCATTCTCGTTCCGCGTGGTCAGTTCGTATTCGTGTTTATTATGATCGTTATGCTTATATTATGAGTATATGCATGAATATTTATAATAATATCGTTGCAGTAACTGCTGAAGTATAGATAAACTTCCAAAAATAGGTGTGTTTTTACACAGATTAGCTTTCTAAGGAATAATATTCGGAATGGCTTAAATAAAAGAAAAAAAAATCGAATAGTCAAAATAATTTCTTTTTTTTTTTTTTTTTTTTTTTTTTTTGCCAATACATTATGCAGTACGGAGGTTGGGAGGTTCTCCCCTTTCTTGGCAAAATCTCTAATATTGAAGCAGCAGACTTTTTTTTTTTTTTTTTTTTTTTTGTCACTGTCCAATCTGCATTGAATAGAACTTTGCGTTTTTTTTGCTATGTTTTTGCGGTCTGCCCAACCGAAGCAAAGATTGATTCTATTCCGGAAATTTAATGCAGTCTGTTGAAAATTAGAATCAGAAACACCCCAGATTAGTAAGTCTGTTTCTTTTCCTTTATTTAGTTCTTTATTCTTCGAATACCGGCAGCTGTTGATTCCGATTGCGTAATATCACATGTGGAAGAATTACGCAGCGCGTATTGCGCAATAACGTTTGCCGTATTTTGCAGAGATAATTAATTTTGATGTTCAGTCCGAGATTTAGAATATTTCTGAACTCAGAATATTTCTGAGTTCCGTTGGTCTATTTTTATATGATGCACATACCGAAATGTCAAGATAATTCATTTAGGCGAGAAATCTAGAGAACGGCTACAATCTCCCCCACTCCTCTTTTTCCAGTTACTATCCCGAATATTCTAAGTATGTGGGTTAGTTAAGCTTTCACTGCTAAAGGATGACTGCTTGAAGCAATTTCCCGTCTTCTGATTTCAGAAATGTGCCTCTTTTTTACTTAAATTACTTTGCTTGGAATGTATGTTAAGGGAAAACTGTTATGCAATGAAAATTTAGAAAATGTTCAGAATTTTGATTTAAGTTAAATTATTTAAATATTAATATGAGTGGAAAAATAAATTGTATTTATTATTAGGTGCCAAACGAATACAATTAATATGCTTATTATTTATTTTCTATATATTGAACTGAAATTTCATCATTAAATCTTGTAATATAGTTTAGTTCTGCATAGTTTTTTTTCCTCTCATTGTAAACGAATTCTGTAAATTGAACTGTCATTTAAAATTAAAAAAAAAAAGTTAATTGTTTTCCGTGGTTGAGTTAATGCTTATTCTCTTAATAAATATTGCATTGCTCATATTTTAAATTACAAGTCTAATTTTTCTTTTAAGGTTATGCAGTTGTGTATAATGTAATTAAACAGGTGCTTATTTTTTCCTTAAAATGTGCTTGAAAAGTGCTTATAGGTGCTTATTTTTTTAACTAAAATGTGGCTATGAACCCTGTATAAGGTTTTTTTCAGGAAACCCCCATCCCACCCTCAGAAAAATATATCTTGATTTAATAATATTTCAAGTAGATCAGTATGTTAAAGGTACTTTTTGTAAAGGAAATCAAAGAAAAAAATTGCGTTTCTTATTAAAAAATTTTAACATAAAATTAGTGTAATTTATTTATTAATAGCATTAATTCCTACTCCAGGTATCACCTACGCTTGTAGTGACAAGAGTGTGCTTGTTTTCTTTAACACAAGCTGTGAAAGTGAAGATACTATGTCTCTATTGATGTTATCTGCAGTCATATTTCATATTCTGTATGTAATTTGTTTCTATATTTTGTTTTTTTTGCCACATACATTGAGAAAGACTTTTCACTTAAAAAGGTTGTCCCGAATGACATTAAAATATTTTCAACCATGTGAGAAATTCTTAGGCATTCTGCATAAATCTAGTCAAAATTTAGAAGCTGCTCTTTCTTAAATTTAGATTTTAATATTGAGGCTATTGATATGTTGATGTTTTCCCCTTTCCTTCATTGGAAAGCATTCTGATTTATCATAGTACTTGAATGGATTTTTTATAAAATAAAGCTTACTTATTTCCTTCTTGAAAATATTCTCCTATAGTTTTCTTCAATTGAAAAAAGAACCCCATTGTATAATTTTTAACACTGTCATCTGAATTCAGTTAATTTTACATTAGAAACTTATGCAAACTATTAGTTTTGCATAGCTTTGCATATTATAGCATATTATGGCCACATGTTAAGTCTTAAAACTAATCTATAACTAAATGTATCTTTATATTTTTTAGTTAATAAATGCTAGTGAACTATTGCGAGTGCTTTTTAATTTTATTTCTGATTTTTTTTTTTTTTTTTTTTTTCTTATGGAATCCTAGGGTTTAACTCACAGAACCCTAGGGTTCCAAAAACACAGTTTGAAGACCACTGTTCTAGGGTAATGTTGTCATCTTAACAATTCCCCATAGCAATGCAGAGTGTGAAAGAGTTTTTCATTCTGTTATAAATATAAGGGTTAAATTTAGATCCAGTATGAATGATGACATACTGGAAAAACTGACCTATTTGACAACTGCTTGGAATAAAATTATGATGCTTCTTTCTTAAAGGAAGCAGAATTTGCTTCTGTTAACAATTGCATGAAAACAGACTAAACTATATTTCTATAAACATTTCAAATAATTAATATATTTTTGTCAATATATTTTATAAAATTAAAGCTTCATGATTGCTCGTTCAGATATTATTAATTAGACAACATGCATAGTATATTATTTTAAAAATTTATTTTTTGTTTATTTTTACTGTTTAGAAATTATTTTTATTTCTGAAAAATTTCTCAATTTTAGAGTTTAGCAGGTCGGCTGTTTTGACAGTAGATTTAAGATCATAAAACTCACCAAATTTGGCAGCAAAAAGCTGTGGTTCTTAATCATGAAATTGTGGTGATTATTTTTCCTGAATTGTTCTAAGGAATAATAAAATAAGAATATAATATATTTATGTATCCTGAGGTACAGACATCACAAATTTCAATTTGCATGAATTACAGTTAGTTTTCATTGTACATTTATTTTTTATATTATTGAATTCTTATTGGCCATATGGAAAATTTATGCTAAAAGTCTCTTGTGCTTTGTAAAATGTAGTTTCCATTACAAATCATGTATATTTACACTAGCAAGAAAATTACAAATTATTATTCTCTACCAGTATTCCCTAATTTGAAGGTAATTACTAATCAACATTCATTGTAGTTTTATTTATCCTTAATATGATCTTAAGGAAAAAATCAAGGAAATTTAACAAATTTTAAGTAAAACAAATTATAATGAACATTTCAGGACTGTTGATGCACTTATGAAAAAACAACAAATACATCAAAAATTTTCATTGCAAAATTTTACTCATCGCAGAATTGCCTTTTCTGCAAACATCATTTTGTGAGATGTTGCCATTGTAACATATATTGCATTCCTTTCATAATACATATCCCAAGCCAAAAAAAAAAAAAAATCTGTACCTATGTAAAACCTTGCATGTCAAAATTTCATTGTTAGGATTTACATTAGTTCTGTTAAGAATAATTAGTAGCATCCATAAAGTACTGAGTTTTCCAAAAATTGCAGAAAGAATTTCTAGTAAAATAAGATTCTTTTATCCCATGAATTTTATTTTTTCTTGTCTATGAGTATGTAGTTAATGATTTAGGAAATAATTTATGTGCTGTACCTAAGTTTAATGAATTGACATTGAACAGAGAAGCATTACAGCACAATCTATAATACCTAAAATATAAATGCTACTTCAGTTAAATGGGATATTACTTTTCTGTCGTATTTCTATTCGGAAAACACATTTCAGGAATCAGTAAGTGTGTTAAATTTAATGCGTTTGTCTAATAAAGTAAATTTTTTTCATTCATGATTATTTATTTATAACAGTTTATGCTTTTTGCATGCTTATTACAAAGTTTATGAAGAATATGATTAGCTGATCTTATTTAAAGTCATGAAATAATTAATTTTATTTTATTTATCTATTTTTAAGAATTTAGGTTTGGATTTGTAAATCTGTTAAAAACATTCACAATACAAAAGCAATTTTTTTTAATTTTTTGATATTATGTAATATTATAATTGTTTTAGAAAGTGATTTGTTTTTGTTTCTTAAGCAGTAATAGGAAACTGCTGTACATTGATCAGAAATGTGGAGTACCAACAATACTAATCCACTGTTGTGAATCATTTATGCTGCTCTTGATTTTGAGTGTCTTATGTATTCAATAAACAGTTACCTCTAATAAATTTTCATATGTAATATTTAATGCTGTATTCATTATTTTTTGCAGAATGGCACATTTTTGAGGGATTTTAAGTTTAAAGGTGGAATTTCTAGTATCTGTAAAGGCTGGGGTAAAATATATGTGGCTCTAAGAGATGGATCTATCTACATATGTGATGAAAGTGTAAGTCTCAGAGGTTTCAGAAATAATATTTTACATTACATAATTTATTCTATGTTTTACTAAACTGTTTTTAAAAAATTTTACTTGTGTAAAACTGGTAAGCAAATTGTTCTTTAAAGTGATGTCTAAGGAAATGCAGATTAAATATAGTTATTTTTTGTGTCATTCATTTTTGCTAGTTTGTATGCATTTTTTTATATTTCAATATAAACTAAGACATTTTTTAAATAATTTTTGTCAAAAAAAAGTTTTCTCCATAAACAAGTTTCGTATATGATATCCACAGCCCCTAAATTTTCCTTTTGGCCTATTTCTTTGGGAGGGGGGTAAATTTATCCTTTTGGCCTATTTCTATTTGAAATTTACCCTATTATTTTATTAATTTACCCTACTGGCCTATTAAAAGGGTAAATTTTCCTTTTGGCCTATTTCTTTAGGGGTAAATTTCAAATAGTATGGAGACCAATCATTGAGCCATTTTTTAAACTCCTTGTCATTGTCAGAGGAAGTATTTCACATAGTGTTGAAAATCATTTAGATGATGTAGCATTAAAAAGAAGCTATCTGCAAAGAATGTGGCATGTTAAATAACTCTCTTTCTTGTCTATCTTTCTTCTTTTGCAGTAAAGCTCCTTCAGAATTTTCTATATTCAGTTGAGCAGCTATACAGAATGAATACGCCAAGGTGATTTTCTGTGTCAAGTCTACAGCTTTTAATATTACTGACAGTAAAATTTGGCTTTAATAGTCATGTGTTTCAGGAAATTCAAAATAATATGATGCCCTCATAATCTCACCTGTCTGTCTGTTGAGGGCTTAATTCAGTATTTTCCTTTCCATGAATAAAAACAAATTTCAAATTATATAACTTTCAAAGAAATATCAGATTGAAACTTCTCTTTTCCAAAGACTTTTTTCAAGCCATAGAACTGAAACTGCACCATAGATATTCAGAATATTTTCTACTGCTTGAGATCATTGAAAACTTTGATTTGAAGATAAATGTGAAAGGTTTCAGAACAGATCATTTTTCTGTATTTTGCAACTTTAATATAAAACAATAGCCAAAAATACAGTTCTCAAACTAAATGGTAACAGTATAAAACATCCTGAAAGGATCACAAAGAGAACTGACATGCACTGTTTTTGGCATAAATTTGCATTTATAAAAAATGCTGTAAACTTATTTACAGTTTGTCATATTATTCATTCATTTCTACTAATACTAGCAAATTGTCTTAATGAAATGATAGACATTCTGTTTTACAAAGCATGCCTTTATCTGAAAGAAGAAATTTCTTTTTGTTTGTTTACAAATATAAGCCTAGTGCTTTGAATAAAATAAGATTTAGCAAGGTAAGAGAACAGAAGAGAACAGAACATAGAATTTCAATCTGCCATACATATTCTTTGCCAGAGGTCGAGTAAAATGCTTTTCTAATTAAAAGCAAGAACTTTGTCATATCTTAAGAAGATATATTAAAATTAAATACTCCTTTATTAGTTAGCCAGCTTAGCAAATATTGTGATCTTCATGAGGTTTTCTTTCTGTATGGTATCATAAGATAACAGTTAAGAAAAGAACAGAATTCTTCAAATTTAGTTAAGCTGTGCTTAAAATCTTTAGGCTAATTTTTTATTACTAAAGGAAATGATCTGTGACCATCCTTCAAGGTTGGAAGTTTTTTTTTTTTTTTTTTTTTTTTTCCTTCCTGCTTTGTTTTATTTCCTAAATATTACTGTGAGTTATAGATTCCTGCACCTTTTCCTATGAAAACTGTTTACATTAGTCACATCAAATGAACAATAAGCTTTGAAAAAAATTAGTAAAAAAAATTTGAATGTTTTGCAATGTTTTTTATGAGAAGCTTAGCGACACCTAATGAAAAGTGTAATAAAACTTTGGTATTATTTGTGATACTATATCTTTGTAAATGGGATTTCTTATAGTCCGTTTGAAAGTAAAAAAATGATAGAATGTTTGATATCAATATTCACGTTGACTTGCTAAGATCATACTGAAATTCAGCATGCTTGTTAAATAGTAAATGTCTGAATGTCTCTTATGAGATTATGGAAGAATCCATGCTCAATCCTGCTCATATGGGGCTCCACTTTATAAATTAAATAAATTAAAAAGCTATATTTAAAAAAATCTGAGTGCTAAATACATGCAGAAAAAAAAAGTTGTTAAGATTGCTAAGGATAAATTCCGTATTAAAACAATTTATCATTAATTAGGATTATCTGCATATATTTTATACCACATTTATAGAGGCATCCCATTATATCTTAATGAAATGATAGACATTCCATTATATCCCATTATATCTATAATACACAAAACTATCTATGGGGGGGGGGGAAATTGACAAAATCATTTAATGAGGGCAAAATTATGCTCACTTAAACTGGAACTATGGGCATACAACTAACTAACTATTCATATTTAGTTATGCAGTCATTTTGAAAATGTGGGTTATATATATATAGATGTATATATAAATTTTTGCTGTGTATTGAAATATGTTAAGTTTTGCAGTTATTGAATTATAATTTTCTTTCAGGAAGAACAGAAATTGGTAACTACAGAAGAATCTATTAAAAGTATTGCTTCGACTTATCAAGGACGCTTACATGTTCTTGTAACCTTGTCATTCAATGGACAAATTTGCATACGGAATGCTGAAAATGGCCTCTTAATTAGATGCCTTAATATGTCTGTGAAAATGCATTCTTCTATGGTTATTTATAATGACTGTATATATTTTAACAGTGCCGATAAGAATCTTCACATCTTAAATATATCAGTAAGTAACATGTATTATTTTAACAGTGCCTATAAAAAATCTTCACATCTTAAATATATCAATAAGTAACATATATTGTTATGAATTATGTATATGTATGGATAATTTTAGTAAAATTATGTGAGAAATTGTGTTTTTCTATATAATCTAGAGCAGCAGTTGCCAACTGGTGGTCCACGGATGGTCCGTGAAAACTTTTTGGTGGATAACTAATGCAGAAAAATTGGGACATTATTTATATTTTTATGAAGATTGATTTTAAAAAAATGATGAGTAATAAAACCTATTATGGAATATGGATTATGCTTTTTTTAAAAAAATTGTAGCTGCTACTTTTAGCAAAATTCCTTCTGAATTTAGCGACTTTTTAGCTACTTTTGCTGGTGTATCAAGTGATATTTGAAAGTGAGAGTTGGCATCCATGAATGTGCTGCTGTTATCAATAATAGCATGAACTGGAATTCTCTTCCCTTTTTAATTACAAACATACATAATGGATTTAATTACATAATGGATCCACATTTCGTCCATTGTCACATACTGATGCAAAAAATCCTATTTATTGCAAGTAAACAGTGACAAACAGCTCTGTGAATCATAGACTCATTATTGCTTTTGTTCCATTGTGAGCACACAAGGCACCCATTTAAAAAACACTTTTTTCATGCCCAACATTTCATGTCAAATCATACACACACTTCCAGTTGATATGTTTACCATCTCAGCAATCTCACGAACTTACACTTTGTGGTCATTCATCATGGTTTTCAACACTTGTTTCATAATTTTCCGTAGTGACTGCTTCATTTGCCCTACCCAAGCATGCCGCATCATTTGTATCCATGCGACTGCACTTGAAATCAGCATACGAACGCAAATGTTTGTTTTCGATAGAGCAGAGTCTGGATAACATTTTTCAAGTCATTGCTGAGCTTGGACAGTAATTTTACCCATTAAATAGCAATGTTTGATCAACACATGAAATTTGTTTTTCTCCATTTTGTCCACAAATGCCCAAGTAGTGTTACTTTTACCACAGTAGCTTTGCTGTTTCTGGTCTGAATGTGAATCAGACACGTGTCATTTCAAGGTTAGTTCTTTCGAACAACGAAGTCAAGTTGATATTACTACGCCATCTGACAGGGACTTATTGAATGATGTGTTATACACATGTAAGATTTTAGATGAATTTCATTTCCTTAAATTTAAAAAGAGGGTGGAGATCTTTTAATTTCTGTAAAGTCTTCATATATTGAACTTAGCATTAAAATTTAAATTTTTAGTCATTTTCTAATTTTCCCATTTAGTATATCTTTAATTTTCATAGCCCATAGATCATAGTTTTGTAGCTAATAATCTTATGTATCTCTTGTTCCAGTCTATGAGCACTTTTGTGTGTTTTCAGTATTGTTAATACAGTACAAAGTCCATAATTTGGACTCGTCGGGAATTCGGCAATTCCAGATTAGGGTTTTTTCCGGATTATAGATCATCAATTTAAATCTGGTAAGATGGCATGCAGAAATTGTACAGTTAAAAATATGAAACCGTAATTTATGAAATAAAGAGCAATTATGATCTAAAGGATATCAAAATTTACAAAAAAAAAAGCTTAATATTTATTTGTTTACTTTATTAAACATTTCTTTCAATGTAAGTTGTTTAAGTTGCTTCGTTTTTTGTGCTAATACTTTCTCTTTAATTCTCTCTTATATAAACAGACATAATTTCTTGTCTAGTTACAAAGCTCCACTGTTCAAATCCTGTAATTGCTGTGTCAAAAATACTGACTAACTTCTCAATCGAAATTTTTTCGTTTTCAATAACCACTATCGGAAGTGCGCATGTATAAACGCTTTACTGGCTTTATGCGCATGCGTAGCGGACGCACGCATCAGACGCGCATGCGTAAGTTTGTGGTTTTGAGGTCCAGATTATAGATCATTCCGGATAATGGACGTCTGGATTACGGACTTTGTACTGTAATAAAAGCATAGTTTTTGCATAAATTTGTAGTCAACAATATGTTTGTATGACTCTCATGTAAACTATTTGTCCCAATCTAAAAACACATAAAGAAAATTCCTGACTATTATTCCATTATCTCATTATAGTTTTTCTCTCAGTATGATGACATAAAGTACTGCATTTTTTCCCATACTTTTCTTTGGGAGATACATCTGTCTACCTTGCAAAAACAAAAGTGGGTAAAACTCCTTTTTTCTGAAAGCAGTAAACAAGTATATGTAAGTGTGATTGTGATTATGCGTGTCACCTTCCTGTGTATTTATCCAAATTATCTTTTTACCGAAAAAGAAATAGAATAATTTTTAATGGGATTCCATTTGTTATTAATGCAACTTTACACAAAGTTATGTTATTTTTCTTTTTAAAAAAATCAAATTGAAATGACTTTTGCTCCATACTCTGTCCCCCCCCCTTAGTAAAGCAAAAAAAGCATCAGGACAACTTTTAAGATATTTATTTTGGTATTTATATTTAATATTTATGTTGATATATTTACATTTAATATTATAACAGTTATTTTGCACTGACAAAAGTGTCAGTAAAATATCTGTTACAATACAAATTAGTTAGGTGCATTAAACTTTGAAAAATTCTTTATATATGACTATCTTTCAAGAATATCATGTTCAGAATAAGTTGAGCTACTACTTCAAATTAAATTCTGTTTTGTCCCTCCTTCAGCTGAATGCTAGACCTTTATTCATTATTTGGCTTGCACATCATACAGGAATATTAGAAATTTCTTCAAATTGCATAGTGTTGATAATTGTTGGGTTAAACTTTTTGTTGTTTCCATATGTCCTCCCAGTATTTTTTATACTTCATGGAAACTAATTGTTTAGAATCCAAGAGAAGATCCTAAGAACAATTCTGACACATCTTGTAAAACAATAAAGATCTGTATCGGTTTTTCTTGTTGTTTCCTAGTAATACTTTTTGACAGTGCTTCTGTTGCCAGTATTGTTACTGTCCTGTTAAGCACTCTCTTTTATCAACTGATATTTACTTACAGATTTTGCAAGTGGTCAGTAAGTGCTTTTAGTTCTGAAATTACCAAAATTTTTAGTTTCTCAAAAATACTTTGTTGATTATAATTAGGATACCATAGTGAAAGTAAAGGAGATCATATAATATCTAACAGAATGAGAAATGTAAAAATTCAAATTTCCAGTATTACAAAATAATGTTTGAGGTATTAGGTTGAAAGTAAAAATTTCATGTGTAAATTTTATCTCATTCATGAGAGAAAGAATTATTAATTAATTATTATATACAGTCAAAAGTCGTTAATCCGGACTCATCGGGACTTCGGCGATTCCGGATTATAGATCATCAGTTTAAATCTCGTTTAAATTCTAAAATTAAAAATATGAAACTGTAATTTATGAAATAAAGAACAATTATGATCTAAAGGGTATCAAAATTTACAAAAAAAAAAAGAGCTTAATATTTATTTGTTTACTTTATTAAACATTTCTTTCAATGTAAGTTGTTTAAGTGGCTTCGTTTTATGTGATAATACTTTCTCTTTACTTCAATAAACAGACATAATTTCTTGTTCAGTTACAAAGTTTCGCTGTTCAAGTCCCGTAATTGCTTTGCCGAGAATACCGACTAACTTGTCAATCGAAATTTTTTCATTTTCACTAACCTCTCTGTCACCTTCTTCATGTCTTTATCCATTTTTTGCAGCAATTCCACTTTTTGTTTGATGGACATCGAAACATACTTTCATTTTGTGCGATCCTTTGGGGAGCTCCAGAATCGGAAATTCTATTTGACATAATCGAAAGTTCAAGTTTACTTTTATAAAATTGCTCTTACAGTCTGCAAAAAATAATAAGCCAATTTGAAGATTAAGGAACAATGCAATCATCAACATTAACTGAAATAGATAATTAGATAATTTTAGCTTATACTGTCCATTATACATAAAACGCGCACGCGAAAACGTATTCTGCACTTGCGCACACGCATATGCGCAATCGTAAAGGTCTTACGCGCGCGCGCGCGTAAACGCCTATGCGCATGTGTCAACGCGGCACATACGCAGAAAGTTTTCAGCTTTGAGGTCTGGATTATAGATCATTCCGGATTATATGTGTCCGAATTAACGGTTTTTGACTGTAGTATGATTTCCTGATTCAAATTGTGCTGTCCTTTTTCTTCAACAAAACTAATAATTGAGAAATGAAACATTATCAATGCTGTTTTCATGCATAGTGGTTATGAATGCTGGTTTAGGAATAAACATTTATAAATAATTTGTGTAACACTTTACTCTATTCAGTTAGAGAATGCAATCATTTTTTCCTTCCTTAGACTGGTGAATTGGTGTCAAAATTATGTCTTCCATCTGCAGTGACTGGTCTGGAAGTATATAAGGATTTTATTTTCACCATATCTTACAGTGGTTTGGTACGCTGTTACAGCAAATTCAATGTGAGTGCAAATTACACATAATATGTTGTAATGGTATCTGTAGCATTTTGTTTAATGCATGCTCCAATTTTATAATTAAAATAATACATATTGGTGTTTTTATTTTTTAAATTTTTACTGCATTTTATGTATAAAATATGTAAGCTGTAGTTTGGTTAGATAATTAAATGAAGAACTTCATTGTCATGAAGAAATTTTAAACATATTTATAATTTTTAAATATTTATCTTAATAGAGTTCCTTGTTTATAGATAATTACATATAAATAATAGTGAACTTTATAAAAAAAAAAGTGCTTGCATAGGAAAAGTATCTTCTTTTTTTCCTTTTGTTTTATGGCATAGGAATTAGATTCTTCTCATTATGTAAATTTATCCAAAGATCAGAATCTGATTAACAAAAGCTTAGCTTATCTGATTAACAAAATAACAAAAATCTAGTTAAGCAAAAAAATTGAATTACCCCCCCCCTTCAGACCTTTAAATAGCAAAAAGATTTGAAACTTCCAAATGGCATTATTTCTTTCTTCACAAAAAGCTTTCCATCTTTTTGTTCAAGTGGTTTATCCTAATTTCATTGACATATAAGCGTTTGCCATTCCGTTGAAACTGGTCAGTTAGAAAAGGACTTTCGCTGCATAGACAAGTGAATGAATTGCTGCACAAGAATTTGATTGAAAAATCATTTGAGCTGGGAATAAAGAGGTTGGGCTGGGATTTTGGAAAGGTTATATCATAATAATATATGTTCATAATTAATATGTTTACATTATTATACAGCTTCTTTCATCACTAATAATTTAAATGTGTTAGAAAAAAAAACAGATTTTGATAATTTGCCATTTTGTATAAGTATAATGTCCAAAAATTATTACTTTATTGAAAATAATTACTTCTAAAATCTATTGCAGGAGGGACCTTTATATTTTAGGTCCTAATGCAGTAATGTGATACATCACCTGCATACAATGGTTAAGTTATACCAAATTTTTATGAAATCCAAAATTTGTTGAAAGTGTTGATGCAGAAATGAGGTTTATATCTGAAGTACTACCGAAGGGGGGTGAGTTGTGTCAGAAATATAAGTGTACAAGAACAAGAAATGTGCTCTTGTGAAATTTTGTGCTTGTGTGGTTATTGTGTTTTAATATCTACCTAAATTAGCTCATTCGATATTTTTATAGTCTTTCTAGCTCTTGTCAAAGAATTACAAAAGCTAGGAAGATTTACAAAAACAAATTTTGTATTTATTCGGCGTGTTATTGTGTCTTAATTAGGAAGATTAGTAACAGTGATTAGTAACTTCTTACTATAAAGAATAAGTGAAATTCATATACAGTTTCAAGCATTTGCTGTTATATTATTCTAGTAATATCAATAATTAGATGTGGAAAAGTGTCAAAGATTATAAGAAGTGTTGTTGTAAGTGTATGAAGACAGCAACAGTCATAACTAACTAGTAAATGTGCATGTTTTAGCAGTTTATTCTCTTGTTGGTATTTTAATTAGGATTACCTTGTTTTGGAAATGAGCCAGTGAAAGATGTCGAAAGTAAAAAAGTATTTAAGCACTAGTATGAAATATGCAGTAAAATAAGAATTTTTATTTGTTGCAATTCAGTCAAAATTATTTGAGCCTTGTGGACTATACAGTTAAAACTTAATTTATAAGTTTTATTGATGAATATTTAAAAGAACTTCAGAATAGAAGAAGTTCATTCTAGAGATACAGAGATCTGTAGAAAGAAATACAATAGTTTTCCTTCTGCACTTAATTAATATTGATTATTCTCTACTGGAGCAATCATTCTGTATGTGTTTTGAAGTCAATATTAGCTACAATAACTGTTTTTACATAATGCCAAATGCTATTGCAGCATATTCATTCTAATCATATTATTTCTAATTTTCTTTGATTTGCATTTTAAGATTTTTTTTATTTTTGAAGAAGATTCTCTTTTTTATGTAAATTAATAACTATTGATTTTAGAAAATACATAGAATCTTTATCTAAAGAAATTACCCAATAAACGGTTTTATTTTTTCTTAATTCAAATAATTAGTATCTTATGGGCTACTTATCATCAGATTAATTTTTGAAAAGTAATTGTTTCTGAGTCAATGTTAGGTACTGTTTGAAAATAAATACAATAAAATAAAAGAAATTGAAAGTTTTTAAAATCTTGTTTGATTTTAAATTTAAAATGATAAGGCAGGGTTCGTAGTGGTCCTTATAAGTGCTTATAAGTCCTTATATTTGAAAATAAAATATAAAGGCCCTTATAGGTGCTTGCTTTTTCTTTAAAGCCCTTATTTTTTTTTTTAGTGCTTTTTTATTTAACCCTTTGCGACACGCATATTTAAAATATATTTTAATCTTTAAAAAAATGCCTTGGAATAAGTCAGATGGACTTACTTAAGTGCCTTTAAGGCTTGAAAAAAATTCTGCGCTTTTATTTTTTACGGTGGAAGGTGGGATACCGTTTGTCCCACCATGCAACTAGCACATGTCTTATAGCATATTGGTGTATAGCAGGGAAAAAAATTTATATGTGGAATGAATAAACAAAATAAAGCGTGCATTCTAAAATATTCATAATAAACACACTAAAATGCATTTTGTACTTATTGCATATATGCATGACTTGTAAAATTTTGCATATGCACATTTTACATGTAGTATATATTAATATTTTTAAATTTTAGGAACAAAGAAAATATTTTCTTGAATATTATTTTAAGATTAAAATTTGATACTCGTACATATGATACTAAATAAAATATTAAAATTGGCACTTGATTCAAAAACATTTATATATGACTAAAATTGAAAAAAAGTCACTTTCATGAAACTTTGAAAAACATGTTGTTTCATTCTTTTGTAAGCATAGAGGCACTTCACATGTTTCACACATGCAAAATGTTCTTCGTTCTTCTTTCGATATGCTGCAATATGCACATCTCCTCCTGCTCGTTCTCTTTGGTGTTTTACTTACATTTTTTTAGTGTCTTTTCTGGTTGTACGAACAGGTTTTTAGTTTTATTTGAACTGGGGATTTCAGTTTTCTTTTCAGCTCTTTCTTGCCTGCAAGTGCCATTAGACCTTCTGTAACTGAGAGAAGAAAATCTTTCATTGTTTTTACATCATAATCAGGTCCGCGAACAAACTTGAATAAATGTGTTTACTATACTCGCATCTAAAAAGTAAAAAAAAAAAAAATCATGTGCCACCATTTCTTGCTTTTGCGGTCTATTTCATATAGTCCTTTCAGTTGATCTATCAGTCGACATATCCCATATTCTTATTGTGTGAAATAATGCTGTTTGGGCACAGTACTTTTTTTTGTCTTTCCATCTCATTCCTTTCTATTAATTTCTTTCATTTCTGTTGCGTTTTCCAAGCAAGACAGGATAGAAACGGATCTTTTATCCTTCCATTTTATGCAATAAATTGAATCATCGCTAACTGAAAAGTCTATATTCTCTTGACATAAATTTGTCTTTTAAATTTTTGGGTAGATACTTCCGATCCATATTTACAGTGCCACATGCATAGATGGGTCTGTGTCTTTAAAAAGCGAAACAAATTATGACTACTTCCCTTTCTTCTTCAGCAATAACTTCAACCTCAGTATTCTCTCCTGGATTTCAATTTCATCTGAATCAGAACTGACATATGAAACATTTGAGTCGCAATCGGATGGCAATTCAGCAAAAAGATCCAAAGCTACCTGAGGTGTTAATTTTTTCCTAGACATTTTAGCACATCAGAGCATACAACGGATGTAAAAGCGCGCGCAATCACGAAAAAAGTAGATGCAAAAAAGAAAAGAAAAAAAATAATCGTGAGTGCTGCCATCGAGCGGAAATTCAAGTGTGTGGTGGGACAAATTTAACCCACTTATTTCAACTGCAAAATTAATGTTATAAAATATTGAATACAATTAAGATTTTTGAAAATAAAGTACTTTTGAATATTAAAAAGTATCATACATATCATAAATTGTATACCAAAATTTTTAAAATATTGAAAAATGCGAGATACAGGGATATCACTCTTGTGATCCTATTTTGAATATTTTTTGCTTATAAACTTAAGCCCTGGTATAGTAGTAACATCTACTGAGAAAAATAATAACTAAAATAGATTATTTTTAAAAGATTAGAAAATTTCTAACGGAAATTGCTAACTGAGAAAATAAATATTAATTAGGTGGGACATATATTGACCCACCATGCCGCAAAGGGTTAATGAACGCGCTATTTTTCCCGGTACCAAAGCCAAAACTAAACAACTTTTCTTGCTAATATGGAATGGCAGATGGTGAGTCATACTCCCTAAAATAGCTTTTTCCTGTCGTTCTATTGGTCAAAGAATTGCAAAAGCAGTAGAAAATTATGCTACATTCGGCATTCTTTTCCTCCCACCCGAATACTACACACGTTTGAATTTCTATCGAGATCTTAAAAATTTGCATTCTCGTTCTGCTTGGTCAGTTTATATTCCTGTTTATTATGATCGTTATGCTTATATTATGAGCATATGTATGAATGTTTATGATAACATAGTTGCAGTAACTGCTGAAGTATAGTAAACTTCCATTGGAATGGCTTAAATAAAGGGAAAGTAATCGAATAGTCAAAATAATTTCATTTGTTTGGCCATATCATTATACAGTACGAAGGTTGGGAGGTCTCCCCTTTCTCCACAAAATCTTCAATATTGAAACTGTTACAGTTCGCTGCAAAACAAGCAACGGACCTTTTTTTTTTTTTTTTTTTTTTTTATCACTTTCCAGTCTGGATTGAATAGGACTAAAAGTTCTGCGGTCTACCAACCCAAGCAAAGAATGATTCTATTCTGGAAATTTAACGCCGTCTGTTGAAAATTAGAATGAAAAACACCCCAGTGCCATGAGTAGGATATAGGTGTGCCGCAATCAAATACATGTATTTGACATTTTGCAATTTTTTATCATGTATTTAATACACAATGACATTTTTTTTCCCTTAATAATGTCTATTTTAAATGTTTTTATATATTTCACTGTTGTATGGTTGTGTGTGTGTGATTGTAAGTGTGTCAGCATTTGAATTTTTTCGGCACTTCCTTGATAACTCGGAACTCTTTGGTGTGCCACGAAATTCCAGAAAGATTTTTTGTGCGTCGCAGGTGAGAAAAGGTTGCGGAGCACTGATTTAGTTCTTTATTCTCCCAATACCGGCAGATGTTGATTCCGATTGCGTAATATCACGTAGGGAAGAATTACGGGGCACGTATTGCGCAATAACGTTTGTGATATTTTGCAGAGATAATTAATTTTGATGTTCAGTCCCAGATTTGTTTATGAACACTTAAAAGAGTTTTATTGTGCTTATTAAGCAGAATATTTTTTAGTTCCGTTGGTTTATTTTTATATGATGCACATATTGAAATGTCAAAAGCATTTATTTAGCGGAAAAATCTAAAGAGCAGCTACAGTCTACCCCTCCGCTCCTTACGCTCGACTGTCCGAATATTCACCAATTTCCAAGTATACGGGTTAGTTAAGCTTTTACTGTTAAAGATGACTGCATGAAGCAAATTTCTGTCTTCTGATTTCAGAAATGTTCCTCTTTTTTACTTAAATTACTTTGCTTGCAATATCTGTTAAGAGAAAACTGATATACAATGAAAATTTAGAAAATGTTCAGAATTTAGATTTAAATTATTTAAATATCAATATGAGTGGAAAAATAAATTGTATTTATTATTAGGTTCCAAGCAAATACAATAAATATGCCTTATTATTATTTATTTTCTCTATTTTGAACTGAAATTTCATCATTAAATCTTGTAATATAGTCTAGTTCTTCGTAGTTTTTGTTTTCCTCTCATTGTAAACTAGTTCTGCAAATTGAACTATTATTTAAAATTTTAAAAAAAAGTAATTATCTTCCATGGTTGAGGTAATGCTTATTCTCTCTTAATAGGTACTTCATTTCTCATATTTTAAATTGCAAGTCTAATTTTTAAAGTTATGCAGTTGTGTATGATGTAATTAGACAGGTGCTTATTTTTTTTTTTCTTAAAATGTGCTTGAAAAGTGCTTATAGGTGCTTATTTTTTTAACTAAAATGTGGCTGTGAACCCTGTAAGGGGATTTATATCTTCTACTATATGAAGATTTTATAATACATCTTTTACAAAGCATAAAATTTATAAAAATAATGCATAAATTTATAAATTAATATTATTATTTGTTGTGCTTACTAACAGTGTTTTTTTTTTCTTTTCACATAAATCAGGTAAATGATATGAAAATATATTATGGAGTTGAAGGTTCTGCCCTTACTTGCATTCATGTACATCAAGGCTGGGTAAGAATTCTTTGTTGTAAACCTTCTGACAGATTTTTAAAACATATTTAAAGATTTGAAGTACTAAAAATATTTCATGAAGATTCATTTTATGTTTGAATTTGATCCCCATGTACTGTTGATTTTTTTTCTTTTTTTTTTCTAAGATTTGAGACTGTTGCCCAACCGGGCTAATGGTTAGTGACTCTGACTGCTGTGCTGAAGGGTGCGTTCAAAACCCGGAGAAAGCATGGATTTTTGTAAATGTATAGTGTCTGTGATGCATGGGGCACTCTAAATATACGGTGTTGGTGTGTTGAGTTATGGCAAAGCACACGAGGTCTATTAGCCTAAGGGGAGGGATGCCTTCGTAGAGGACTTTATAAGTTAACCTGGCTCGTATACACATTTCACATGGGGAAAAACACAAAAACGCCCATGCAGCCAGCCCGTTTGTGGGATTCAAACTTCGGACCAAACTACCAGTGCTCGGTCCTAAATATGCGGTGAGCTGGAAGTCCTCTTGAGAGGTTGGTGGTAGGGGGGATCCTTGCACCTGTCCCCCCTCCATCCCCGGGTGCGGTATGTCAGAATTGGGGGTAGAACTGAACAAAGTCATACTGTCACAGGTATGGTACTCAATGGCTCTTGCCAACGACAGGCACAGTCTTGCAGCCCTTGCCATGATGAATTTCACAGGCTTTTTCTGATGTTGCTATCAGACAAGTCACAACAGCTACAGGTTTGAGACTAGCATTAGAAATGGCTTAATCAGATTGTCTGTAGCTAGTGTAAAATTTTGTCAGTTCATCTTCAAAAGTAAATTACAGATAGCAGTGGAGAATTGATAAGGATGATGTTAATATATTTACAATCAAACTGAAAGCCCTAATTCTTCAAAATCGGCCTTGTATTATGTGAAAACCAAGATGCTCATTTGTTGTAACAGAACCTTCATTATATTGTTGCATACGTATGGGTTCGTTAAGAATTGAATGCACAAGTCCGATGAAGAATGAATATAATTTATTATTATCACAACAAATAAAACAAAAAATGCTTAAATTCCTTCAGATATTCGTAAAATATCTCACTGTAGATATCCTTTAAACTACTAAACACGTTCAACATAACTTAATTCAAAACAGAGAAACATAAAGAAAGCTAATCAGCGAATTTGCTACAGTAAAACAACCGCAGTTTTCTAAACAAAACTGATAAAACAACTAACTGAATTGAGAGGTTTTCCTCCTTTTTATAAGCATGCGCGAGATTATTCTAGCAATTTCTCGAAATCGAAAAGAGATATTTATTTATTAAATGTTAAATGCACTTGCTCTTGTATTTTTAATTTTCCGGCTTAGCTTTTCTCTTAATATTCATCATGCGCTGCACTGCACGGGGAATAAAACAATTTAATTTATAATTCTACTAATATTAACTATTTAAATACCAAATCCGTAACAATATTAATGTGTGCTGAAAGGCTAACTTAGTCAGTAGTGCTTAGCAGTCAATTATTCATTATTAATTCTACAAAATAAATGCATATGATAATTTGAAACTATCAGAGGTAAAAATGATACAGTTGAACTCTGCTATAATAAGTTTACCAAAGTTTATACAAATAATACCAACGTTTGTTTTGTTATATCCAGTGGTTTTCTGTAACTGGTTCACGGTGAAAAATCGATTATCTCACAAAAAAATATAAAAATTGACTGATGAATTACACCTAAAATAGCTGATTAACTTTGTCCCATTTGTCTGAAAAAGGGAATAGTGAATAGCTCTTAATTTGTATACGAAATCATATTAATTGTTTATTGTGATTATTGTTATGTACAAATATTAAGTTTGTTTCTCATTCTTTTTCAGTGTCACTATAATTTAAACCATAAATTAATTAGCATAAAAGTAATTGGTTATGCCTTTCTCTCAAATAGTGTATCTTCCTTTAAAATATGCATTTATAAATGTTTAATCCATAAAAATAAAAAAACACTAAAAGTGAACAGTGAAGAATATTGACTATTTAAATAAATTTTACACTATTTATTTAAATAAGACAATTTCTCAGTATTTAGTTTTGAAGTGTTTCCTGATTCTCTAACAATTTTTCCTGAAGAAATATCATTTGCTTCTTGAACCTATTTAGCCAGCCATTTGAGCACAAAAGCAGTCTGTTAAAAGTGTTTTGCAAAGTTACTAGCAGTTATATGAAACATTTATCCAAATATTTGCAGATTGTGGCTTTTTTCATCAGTGAACCATTTCAGCGATGCTCCTTCAGCATCCTTACACTCGATATTTTCCTCATATCTAAAATGTTTCCACAAGCAGAAATAATGCAAATTTTTAGTACCAGTTCTAGATTTAGTTAAATTGTATTTCCTGCAGATAAAGATTTATCTGCATTCATTCTGTATTTTTCCAATACCACTTACCTTTACTTCAATGGAGAATGCATTATGTTAATAGCTCACCACTTAAATGAATTTTTGAAATAGAAATATTTCTCCAGTATGGAGTGAAGAGAGTTATATCAAGGAATATCTAAAATTCTACCATTCTGGAGAAGGTAAAAAAGCATCTGCCGAAAATGTTATGGAGAAAACATTATTGTGGGAAACAAAACAGTTCGAAACCATCATCATAGAATATATCATGGTAAAAAATGAAGTAAGTGCAAATTATCGCATGACGATACAGGGTTCGTAGCGGTCCTTATGAGTGCTTTATACGTCCTTAAATTTAAAATGAAATATAAAAGCCCTTATAGGTGCTTACTTTTTCTCTAAAGCACTTATTTTTTTTTCTTCTGTTTTTAGTGCTTATTTTTTGCTTTTAGTGTTTTTTTTTTTTTTTTTAACGAATGCAATTTTTTTCTGCGTACTAAAGCCAAAACTAAGTAAATAACTCTTCTTTCTTATATGGAACATCAGAAGGTGAATCATACTTTCGAAAATAGCTTTTGGCCCCTTTTTGTGCATTAACGTAACTGTAACATCAGAACACCCGTGTTGGGTGCAAGAAAACCCGTGTTGGGTTTTTAAAAACTTAATTAGAAATTCTTGATTAAATAGTAAAATAACTGAATCATTACAGCCATAAATTAAACAAAAGCCGCTGACGCAGTGATGAAGCTAAAATGCGTCCGCTTCCTCTCGTTTACCGTATCGAAAGCTTGTTACACAAAGCTCTCTCTTCATTTTGTTAAGAAACCTGGAAAGAGAATAATTAGTCCCTTATTGCCGGAAACCACACGAGGGAGTTTCCGCTGCATGTTTCTTCAAAGTTCCACTGTCCATTTTGTCTCAGAACAAAACAGGAACTTCTCATTAAGCACCTGGAAGTCCAAGGGGTGCATGTGTCTAATCGTCACAGTAACCTTTGGTGTACGCGAGTACAGACAGGTGCACATCGTTCTATTGGTCAAAGAATTGCGAAAGTGGTAGAAAATTCCGGGACATTTCACATTCTTTTCTTTCCACTCAATACTACACACGTTTTAATTTCTATCAAAGATTTTAATAATTTACATTCTCGTTCCGCGTGGTCAGTTCATATTCGTGTTTATTATGATCGTTACGCTTATATTATGAGCATATGTATGAATATTTATAATAATATATTTGCAGTAACTGCTGAAGTATAGATAAATTAAAAAAAAATGGGTAAGTGTGTCTTAACACAGATTAGTTTTCTAAGATATAATATTCGGAATGTCATAAATAAAGTAATCAAATAGTGTCTCTCTCTCTTTTTTTTTTTTTTTTTTTTTTAGTGCATTATACAGTACGGAAGTTGAAGGGTTCTCCCCTTTCTTCACAAAATCTCGAATATTGAAACCGTTACGGTTCGCAGCAAAGCAAGTAGCAGATTTTTTTGGAGGGGTTACTTTCCAATCTGGATTGAATAGAACTAAAAGTTCTGCATTCTACCAACCCAAGCGAAGAATTATTCTATTCTGGAAATTTAACGCACTCTGTTCAAAATTAGAATGAAAACCACCCCCAGATTGGTAAATCTCTTTATTAATCAATATGAGTATGACAGGGATATCACGCGGAGCGCGACGTGTCCTGCTCAGTAATAAATATGCCGCATCGATGCATGATGGTGAAAACAGGACGAAGCAAATTGGCATTTTCCTTTATTTTAGTTATTTATTCTCCCAATGCCAACAGCTGTTGATTCTGATTGTGTAATATCACATGCGAAAAAATGCACATATTGCACAATAACATTTGCGATATTTTGCAGAGATAAAAGAGTTTTACTGTGCTTGTTAAATGGATTATTTTTATATGATGTACATATCGAAATGTCAAAAGGATTATTTAACTGAAAAATCTAAAGAACGACTACAATCTACAACTACAATCTACACCCCCTCTTCCTCTTTTTCCAGTTATGCTCAACTATCCAGAATTTTCAGATATTCGGCAATTTCCGAGTATCCCGGTTAGTTAAGCTTTTACTGTTAAAGGATAACTGCATGAAGCAATTTCCCGTCTTCTTATTTCAGAAACATTCCTTTTTTTTTTTTTTTTTTTTTTTTTCCCTTTTCCTTTCTAAATTTATTTTTACTTAAATTACACTTTGCTTGCAATATCTGTTAAGGGAAAACTGTTATACAATGAAAATTTTAAAAATGTTCAGAATTTTTATTTGAGTTAAATTATTTAAATATTAACATGAGTGAAAAAATAAATTATGTTTATTTTTAGGTACCAAGCGAATATAATAACTATGGCTTATTATTATTTATTTTCTCTATTTTGAACTGAAATTTCATTGTTAAATATGTAATATAATTTAATTCTGCATAGTTTTTCCCCTCTCATTGTAAACTACTTATGTAAACTGAACTGATATTTAAAATTTAAAAAAAAATGTAATTATTTTCTGAGTAATGATCATTCTCTTAATACTGAATTTCTCATATTTTAAATTACGTGTCTAATTTTTCTTTTAAGGTTATGCAGTTGTGTATAATGTAATTAGATAGGTGCTTATTTTTTTACCTAAAATGTGGCTACTAATCCTGCAATATCACTGCAGACATAATTCTGGGGCTTTAAAAGTTGTAAATGTATATTTGCATAATGATTTGTGAATGTAACAAAGAATGAGGAATATTTCTATCTCTACATTTCAATTTTTTAATTAATTAATAAATTTTGGCTGAAAGAAGCGAGAAAAAAGCTTAAGCATTAAAATACTGAAAATGTATAGAAAATTAATGCTATGTGTAGCAGTTAATGCGATTTTAAATTCATGTACCTAAGTATTCATTGTGTACTTAGCTGTCATTATTTAATTAGTCTCTTTTGTGAAATTGTATTGTTATTTTTCATGAAAAATATTGGATGTGGGAAGCTAAGTCACTGCATGAGGTTACCTGCATTAAAATTGTTTCATTAATTATCAAATCGTAAAATTATTTTCTTTCACCTTTGTTAATCTGATAATTAGTAAAAACTAAGTCTTGTTTTGTTTCAGTTCATCTTCTTAAAATGTCATCAACATTTTCATGTATAGCATGCAGTTTATCGTCTGGATGTTAATTTTATTTAAGATTTTTTCAATTTTCTAATACACAACATGGATACAAGCAAGTTCCAAAAAAATTCCTCCACAAAGACATCCATCCCCTTAAGCAGATAGCTTAAATGTGTTTTGCCATAATCCAATAAATCCAAGTTTCCAAATTAAGTATAATGTAGCCAAAATATTTCTAACACTTTCTGCTTCTTGAAATTATTGGAAGGCATATGAGGGCCGAATTACAGTTACAGCTACACAGAACATCAGTTACAGTTATTCAGTTACTGATACATGTTACGGTGATACAGGGACTGAACAAAATGTTGCCAAGTTAGGCAACTTTTGTCGATTTCTTTCCAAATTTGGTGACAAAAATTTGTCACCAAAACCATGGCCAGCTTGGCGATATTTTGCCAAATTACCGAAATAGCCATTTACACAATCTTAAATAGACTTGCCTCTGCATTCTTATTTTTCCAGTAGAGCATCACTTCTTTAGGTTTTCATGTTATATTAGACCCCCCCCAAAAAAAAAATCTACATATAATTTTGTTATAATTATTTGTATATGTACAAAATTCATAACATTGTATTAACTGCTATACATAGCATTAATTTTCTATACTTTTTCAGTTTTTTATTGCCTTGTTTTCCTTCTTGCTTTTTTCTGCAGAAATTTATTTGTTAATTGGAAAATGTGAAATATGGAGGTAAAAATATTCCTCATTCCTGTCATAAATCACTGTGTAAATATACAGCATGAGAAACGTATGTATGTGATATTATCATTGTGCAGTGATTTGTGGGTATTTCATTTTTTACTGCAATATTTTTGTGTTTTAAAACTGCAATATCTTAACTTTTTTTTTTTTTTTTTGACAATTTTATTTTATGCCATAGTGTTTTAGCACCGTAATGTTTTCTCCCACTATGTTTCGTACTATGATGTTTTTCATCTTTGTTTTCTATGCGATAATTTTGCCCATGTTGCTTTTGCCTGGTACCATTTAAAAAATGAGCTAAGTCTTTATTTACCCAATGCCCAATTAGAACGCATGCATTTTTCTCAAAATGTAGTGGTATAATGCTGCAAAGCAAAGGTGTGGTAACCATTTAAAAGAATTCAAAATTTTTTATTCGAAAGACTGAACCTTAAGAGTATTTTAAATGCTTAATTGATAATTAAAAGTTTCCAATCTCTAAAGGGCAAAATCATCTGTACATAACATAAAGATTTATTCACTACTGTGTCTTTTACTGAATTGCAAAAATTTCACAGTTTCCATCATAACATCAGCCTTGATTTGTTCATCAGCTCAATCAAAAAATTTAAATAGGATTGGAGAACCTGTTAAATTTTTTCAACTCATTGATAAAGTCAATATAAAGAATCATAATGGATACCATATAAAGCCCTAAAGTATGCTTATTGTTTTATAGAACCCTATTAGTATAATACTAACTAAAATGTCCTTCAAATTGCAAAATGAATTATTGCTCTGTCTGTGGAATTACAACAAAGGTCTGTGTAAATTTTAAATAAACTGTAAATAAACTCTACCACTTGTGAGTATTAAACAAAAAATTGAAAATATAATTTTAAAGGGATTCATAGCTTGAGGCTCCACAGTTTTGCATAAGCTAGCTATCTCAAAGTTAAATGCACGATTTAACTTTGGTTTACAAATGGCTAATGTTGGAATATTAACTGGCAGAACTGAGTGATAAAAAGTAAGCGGCAAGTATATATATATATATATATATAAAGCATCCAAACGTCTCACTTTAAGTAGATGTAAATCGTTTGCTTCTTAAGGCCAACAATGGAAGAAGTTATATTATAGATCTAAGTCATAAAAATGGGTTAATTTAGGGTGTACTGGTTCTCAAAGCATTAAGGTTGTACACATGCCTCACTCGGCCTTTGTCTGTAACTCAAAGAAAAATGTGAATGAAGGTAAAGGAACAGTGGCATAAAGGTTTCCTGTTAAATTCACATCAAAGGAATGTAGATCCTATCATCTTAAACATGGCTGATTTTAATAATTAGCTGTTTTTTAGTAAAAAAAAAAAATGTGAGTAGATAAATGGTAAAAACATATTAAATATATATTGTTGTTGTAACTAAATTTGCGAGCCCGTAAGCATGAAGACAGATTAAAGGCTATTCACATTTTACTTCATTGGCATCATTAATATAAGAAACAAATGCTTACACACAGTAACCAAAGCAATCTATAAGCTGCCCTAGAGAGTTAGCTAAATTAAAGAAGTATTTCAGCAGCTATTTGAAAAAAAGATCAGAAGATCCTGCTTCATAATAATTGCTACCCTACAGTCATGTATACACTGCATGACTTGGTTATACAAGCATTTGAATAGTTCTGATTGCATACCAAGGGATAAAAAATTTCATATCTGGATAAATGTTATTTTTAAAAAAATTATAAAATTTTGGCCAAATATGTGAAATTTGCAGCACTTACTGCAATATGAAATTTCCTACATTGTATTATTTTGGACTTTTTTTTTTAATGGTAACTGCTAAATCTTATCCTATGGTATATTTTTAAGCATTGATTAAACAAAGTATTTTATCAGAATTTTTTAATCCATAGAGTTACAGTGGACTTGAAATAAGCATAAATTTAATTTTTAAGTTACAAATAGAATTCAGTATGTATCTATTATCCTGCACATATTTTATTTCTATTATGCACATATTTTAATTCACATGTTAATTTATATTTGCTCTATTTTTAGGTATTTACTGGCAACAGGAAAGGAAATATTTCTGTTTTTCATTTTGATCCATCTGATAAAGTGCCATGCCAGGTATCCCTCTTTTTTTTTTTTTTTTTTTTTTTTTTTTTTTTTTGAATGTAAAGAGATACTATCAAAGAAGAGTTTAATATGAGCATAATTTTACTCATAATTTTGATTTTATTTATGTATAAACTACCTATCACTAGTTTAGGGGTAAAGTCACTGGTAGTTAAATCCTGAGATCAGATCCTTGTGAACAAGCTTGCTGTATGGGAATTATCATAGTTGTCTCATATGTAATGTGGAAATGAGTTACAAAAAATGTGTAAGCATTAACATCATAATTTTTGGTATCATTTTAGTTTATTATTTAAGTTATCACGTATGTTAAAATAATCTTAATAATCCTTTTTCTTTACTTTACATGAAAATGTATTTAAAAAAATTGCTGGCTTTGAGAAGTAATTTTCAGAAGCATTATTCAGTTGTGTGTCTGCCTTTTACGGGAATTGGAAGGCAGGCACTCATTGAGCCCTGTTTCTGACAAAATGTCCATATCAGAATCACTAGAAATATCACTTTGTAACTCTTTTTGAATCATTAGTCTCATTTGTGTCACCAACTGGCCAATTTACCACGCAAGTATATTCTTCCTGTGATAAATAATGCTTGCATGCAATATTAAACCAAAGTCAAGGCTTCCCAAAATAAAAAGAGAAGTATACAAAAGCGATAAGCAGTAAAAGCAAAGGAAATGTAACAGAACTCCATGTAGTAACCCTAAAAGACTCTACATAGTAGGGGGAAAGAACAAAAAAGGAGTCAAAGAGATATCAGACATGTGAATGTTTTTATTATGTGGCATTGTTTTATTATGTGGCAAGTTCAAGAGCTGACTTCTGTTTGTTTGCATTATGGTTTCCCTCCTACCTCACAACATCTACACCAGAGTTAGGTAGAATGTGATCAAACTGAAGGTCAGGATCCTAAAACTATGTTCAGTTCAAAAGTAATGGACACAAGATGCCATCTAGTGGTCTTTTAAAAAGTGGTTTAGCTTAAAATGCACATATGCATCACCCATCCCTTAAACTCATTCTCTAGTGATGCACGGATGGGATGCCTGGCTGTAAAAGACATTCCTAGGAAATGCATATATGGGATGCCTCTTTGGAAAGGTTTAAGGTCTCCTTCGCCTGTTAAACTTAGGCTCAAGTTACAAATGCTTTGCAATATTCAAACTGAATTCATGTTTGTTTCGAAAAGCATTTTATCTTTCCTCATTGTATGTTGGAGCATTTTTTTCCATTTCGGAGATTCTGTATGTTAGTAAGATGCTTGAAATAAGCACATATCTTATTTCACCTGTGAACTACTACAGAAACCTTTATATGAATATTATCAAGCCTTAGAACCTTTTCTTTTTTTAATTTGTTATATTTAAAACCAAGAATACTATTATAATTTACTATTAAAAATCAGTTTAAAGTCTTTTCCATTCCTTCCTGCAGTAATCAATCTTATAATAATTAATTTCAAAAAAGAAATTAAGATTTATGTGCCTAATATAAGTATATATAAAAGCTAAATGTGTTTATTTTGAATGAAATATAAGGTGTTGAAAAATAAGAGAAACTTTTTTGTAATTTTAATTCTCAGAATAGTGTAGAAATCATAGTCATAGCTATATTATCTAAAAGAAAATAGTATTTCTTTTATGTTGCATTAGATATTGTAGTTGTTATGGATCCAGGTCATTGACATGGTAAAGGAAGTGACACATTTATATTTAAAAGAATTCTGAGATTATCCAGATTCCATAAGAATTGTGTTTTTGTGGGTATACCACCAAACATTTTGCTGTTTCACATATAAGAAGTGAAAAAAGAACAGCTGAAACTGCAGCCAGTGCTTTCCACATTGGTTATTTGATCTAACTACAGCTGCAATAAAGTCTGCAAACTAGTAAAGAGTATATTCCAAGGTGCCTCAAGTTTGATTCAAACAGTTTACCCAACCCTAAGAGTTGAACATGTCCCCTTCAGTGTATTCTCATCTAAAGATGCTACATTTTTGCCAATGTTCTGAAAGCATTTTCATGTTCTTTCCATAGAAATTTTTCAGTTGGCTGTGAATCCACTCCCAAACATTGATGATGACATCAGTGTTCAGAAGTAGATTTATAGCCACTTTCATTATCTACAGACTGCACAGATGTGAGATTTAAGCCTAGTTACCATGTTTCATTGATGGTCACCATGACTTTAAAAATGCATCATCTTTGTCTTCAAATTGCCAAAGGATAGAACTGGCAGTTTGCTTGTATATCACTTTATTTTCATCTCTCAACATGTGAATAATCCAATGGGACATTGCCATAGTGTAAATGTTTTTTTCACAGCGGTTTTTACCCTACTAATACTGATTGTAAGCAATTTCTTTTATGGTTCTGTTGTCCTATTCTCGTGATTAACCACCTTCACAGAATTAATGTTTGACGATATGATGAATGTTTTCCCTGTGCTGTGGTCCATAAGTGAATCACACTATTCAGACACAGGGGCCTATGGAGACACTATACTTGGAGTCTTTGCCAAATAAAATATGATTTGATGTTTTCACTAACGAGAAATTTTGATCGCAATGCATTCTTTCATGACTTCATTCTTCAAGACAGCTATTCTTCCCTTATCATTCTTGTGACTGCCAGACACGACTGAGCAAAGTCTAATTTGCATGGGAGGTAAGGTGGGGGTTGTAGCTCTATTCACCCAAGGACACACACACTGCTGTGCATGAGTAGTAGTTTGCAGCAGCAACAATCTTAGTTAAATTTGAATCCTTATATAAAAATAGGAGCTATGCACTGTGACATCAATTTTCTGCAGGATGCAGAGGGTCATTCAGTGAACATCAGCTCTGTATGTACAGTGAAAGAAAACAACTGCTGGATAGAATGTGCAGTTAAATGGATATGTATGGGACATAATATTTGTTCTCCTTTTTAAGGTATTAATTATTTAAAAGTGTTTCCAACATCCATTGGAAACCAACAAATTTAGCAAATAAGTACAGTTTTCTCCTTTATTGTAATATAGCTAACTTATAGGGTTTTGTTGCACTCAAAATTGTCAGTGAATGGTGATGCCTAGAATTAAAAATTGAAATTGTTTCATGCATTCATATTTTAATAGTTCTGTGAAACAATTTGGTCTCTGCGTATTACCAGTCAGTTTGATATGTTCCTGCAATTTTAGTGGGAATATGAATAATTAATCGAAGAATCTTTCATGAATTCTGCTGTTGGAAATTTTAGAAATTCATTGACAGTTTAATCGTAGCTGAATTTCACAGAGGTATTAAAATTTACTTGTGTACCTTTGACAGATCTGATATTTCATTTGGTATATTTTACAATGAGCATTTTTCATGTTTTAATATATTTATAATATAAGTAACATGAAGTCTAAAATTTAGATCCTGCAGCAGACTTGGTATTGAAATTAAAATGTCCATTTTAAGTTCTCGTTGTGTGATAACATAATTATACTAAATTGATGTTTAGTTGATCTTGGGGTATGAAATAAAATGATAGAAAAATATATGTTGATTAATTATAGTAATTTTTTCGATATTTAGTACAATTCATGTAAATTATTTGCTGCAGATAGCTTCATAATTTCGTATTTGCTATCGTGTACAGGGGGACACAAAAGTTCATTTAAATTTGAAAATTCAATAATTCACTAAGTAATGTAGGTAGACAGGTAACTGCCACACATGCTTGTCATGGGGTTTTATTGAAAGCAAAAAAAGTCCTTAAGATAGCCAACAGATGGTGTTTCTTATGATAACATAAGCAATAATTAGCATAATGATTTTTAGCAAAGGCTGTGTTCTTTATAACTAATGTTCAACATGTTGGCCATCATTCCCCAACAATACCTGTAGTCAAGCGACAATGTTGTGAACAGCACTGGACAGCATATAGTGAGAAATTGCCATCAAATGTTGTCTTTTAGCATCCCAGTAAGGTCAGATGATCACGGTAGACTTGCAATTTCAGGTAATTCCACAACCAAAAATCACATGGATTGAGATATAAAGACCTGAGTGGCCAAGTTTGATGGAAGTGGCGTCTCAGCACGTGATCCTCACCAAACGATGTGTGCAAGAGATATTTCACATGTGTACCAATATGGGGTGGATCCCCATCCTGCATAAAGTCATACCTGCTAACAGGTGTTTATGAGCCAGACTAGGGATGATGCGATTCTGTAACATATCAGCACATCTCGCACCCATCAAACTGACAGTTTGAATAGCAGAACCATGCATTTCCTCAAAGAAAAAGACTCCAATCACAGCTGATGAGGTAAATGTACATCACACCATGACCAACACCCGGAGGCGAGGATAGAAAAGTGACAAAGTCATGAAGGAACTGGTTCCCTCTCTCACTACAGCTCATTTCATGCATGGTTCTCATGTGGCGTCACTGGCATTTTGCTGCCCAGCTCCATATGTTTGCCAATTTTTTTTTCTTTTCATAAAACTCCATGTCATTTCAAGCATGTGTGTCGCATTATTCTGTGAATTATTGAATTTCCAAATGTTAACAGACTTTTGGGTCACCTTGTATAATAATTTATATTATAATTCTAGTTCAAAGGATGCTATCTAGTATTTGGACGCATTGAAGATTTTAAATTCCACATGAAGGAGGTCCATCTTACAAAATCTGTTTTGAAAGGGAAATGCTCATGGAATACATGCAATTTTGATTTCCCTCATGAATGGAGTGAAGAGGTATGTTATATTTTAGTAATTTTGCTTTTAGCAATGTTAGGAGTTTTGTTACTATATTTATGACTAAATTTTGCAGGAAAAGAAGAAACATATCAACAAGCATGTGTCCCAAATTGTCTTCAAATAACTGTTGTCATCATTTTGGACACTTTTTAGCTTTTTTTCATTTGGGGACCATCTACAGAAACAAGGAATTCAAAGCAAGTAATTACTTGCTCACCACTTAGAGAAAGTAAATTTGTATAATTTGTGTAAAATGTGTAATTTTTTATATGCATGTTAAATAGAATTTATTTTTTTAAAGATGTCTCAAAAATTAACAGCAGCAGTGTAATATCAGAATGTAAAGAATTAAAGATCATATTTTTCAGTTCTAAGACTTTCAGTTTTAAAACATGCTCTCTAATATCAGTACATCCAGTAGAAATAAAAAGTATTTTGATTCTTAAAAAATAAATAAATAAATAAATAAATAAAATAAAAAATAAGAAAAAGAAGTATTAAAATTCATCTAAATGATTTTTTAACACAGCGAAGTCACTCTTATCATACATGCATTCAGACATCTGCAGATCGTTTGAATGCCTGCATCCACTTTCTACACGGTGCTTTTCTCCATCGTGTTAGTGCACAGCACATTTTTTTGGCGAGTTGTTAAATGACATGCCAGTCATTCCTTTGAAACAAGTGAAGTCTTATGGAATGCTACTTCCTTCTCCTTTGTTTAGTGTCAGTGTTTACCTATTGATGCCCACAGTTGCAATCCTGTCATAAGGGAAACCTGCACACAGGGGATGAAACTGCCCAAAGATCCCCAAGAGAGAAGTAATCACTTTCCTTAAATAGGTTATTATTAACATTGTAGCATTCTACTTGGCAGGCAGAAGGGCATCCATTCCAACAGAAATTTGTATGCCTAGTCATTGCAGATATTTGAGAGGATCAGATTTTGGCCTCTATTAATGCGAAAGAGTTAAGCATCATTTTCATTTTCTTATTGGCAGTATTTTTGCTTAAATTAGCAATAAAAGAAAATTTATTACTTTGATAATTAATGATTTGGAAATCTCTAAGGTCCACCTTCACTTTAGTAATGCTTATGTGGGAAAAGAATGTATATTTTCGAATTGGAGAGATGCAGTAATATATGAAGAAAGTTACTGTTGCAAATATTGTTACAAATTCTTGCAAATTTGAAAGCTATTTTCATTTTAATTTAAAGTATTTCAGCTTCATTATTCTTATACATATCAAACAATGGAAGTCAAACATTGTTGCCTCACTAAGATTTAGTTTGATTGAATTGTGTGCTTGTAAGATATCTTCTGTGGGATTAAAACCTGGAAATTTGGCTAGTTAGTTTTTTCACTCGTTACCTTTGATTTGAAGGAGTTAATCAAGTAAGTTTGCTATATGTGGATGTGCATTATCATATGTATTTTTTTTTTTTTTTTTTTTTTTAAGATTTGAATGCACTTATAAAAAAACCTTGAAGAAGATTGGAAGATTTTATCTTGATATCTCCTGGCAGAGACAGATTTTTTTATTGAATGTGCATGGTAAGGATGTCCATTGATCTTTATCAATCCCATAACATCATTACCATAATGGTTATTGTTTGAACCTGTGAGAGAAAGGTGCAAGCATTAAATACTTGCTGACTTCACCTAGGCAGCAATGTTGCAAGGAATGGGCGAGTATGCTGTGTAATATGTAGAATCCTTGAATGTGATCACTTTTACTATGTGAATTATAAATCTGCTTGAGAATGAGTGTTCTATGGTCTTCTGAGCTGCATCTTTTGTGTCATGTGCAAAATAAATCTGATACTATCTAACTGAAGATCTTTTTTATTTGTGTGTGAACAAGCTATGAAAAGGTCATAAGTGGTCCATCATGCCTGAGTGTATTGAGACAATTAAAGAAGTAAGTGAAACATAACTATATTTTAATTCTTTTGAGTAAAATGTTTAGGAAGTGTAAGAAAGAGGATCTTTGGTTTAAAGCTGCAGTGTTAGGAGAAACTGTGTCTGATAAAACAACAGTTCTTGAGTTAACTGAGTTGATCAAAAAAAAGTAAATATTATCAAGCTGATATTGAATTTGTGAGAGAATTAATAAATACAAGAGATGAAAAGCTAAACTAGAACTTACAAGGTTATGAGACAAAATGAGAGTGAAATAGAAATTCACGATTTTTTAACAAAAAAGTGTAAAAATGCCTACTAAAAAAGAAGGTTGGGCCTTTTTTTCATTAAAAAGGGCATTTGTCACAAAAATGTCCCAAATAAATATAAATTGGAAATTCTGTTAAATTTATTAGGTGAAGGAAGTACTAATGTAATTACTTACTAAAGATGACAAATTGATTAATTATGAAAAAGTGAAATCTATCGTATTAAGAAAATTTCAGTCCATTCCTCAAGCAGGTTGTCAGTGCATCAGCAAAGCAAAATTTATACACAATTTGTTTTGAGTTTAATCAGGAGTTGGAATTACTATTTAAGTGTAAGCAAAATGTCAGATTTACTATTTAAGTGTGAGAAAAATGTCAATAAAACAGTAGATGCCCTTATTTTTCGGAGAAAATATTTTCACCTTTGTTGTAAATATAACAAACCACTTTCCTTAAGAAGCTGAAATGAAACTTTAATCAACTAAAACTGCACACAAAACAGAACATCAAATTTTACATTGTAAGAACAATATTTAAAGTAAGAAATGACTGTTGCCATTCCATTTAATATAATTTTAGTGCTGCCAATAATATTAAATATTATATCACATTCAGCCCTCCCTAAGATTATTAATAAGTTACATAGTCTGCCAGATAAGAAGGCTGACGTGTCTGCCTTTTCGATTGCAAGTTATCATTCAAAGTCTTTTCAAAATCCTCATGTTTGCTAGAGCATGGTAAATCACTGCCTTGGGGATCCTCTTCTATAGATTTTCTTACAGTTTTCGATATGGGTTCAGGAGCTTCAGTTGCCAAATCTTCATTCTGTTGAGCAAAAGAATCTGAAAGTTGTTGGTTTTCATCCAAACAGATATCATGGGCATGTATAGGAGTGTCTCCTCTAGGTGCTAAATATTGTATTGAAACATTGGTTTCACGACCATCTGGAAGTTTAACGCAAGTGTAATCTGGGTTAACCTCAATGAGCTCCAATTCTTGCACAATAGGCTCATATTTATTAGTTCGTGTATGGTTCTTCATTAATACTGTTCCAGGTTGTGTTAACCATGTAGGTAAAGAATGTCCATTATATGAACCTCTAGCATGGATGAACATACATTTATGCGGTGTGACATTTGTTGCTATACATAAGAGTGACCGGATCGAATGCAAAACAGGGTGCAGAACACTCTTCCCAACGTTTGATAGCCATGTTCTTTGATTTTAGTGCCAACTGGATGGTTTTCCATATGATTCCATTATACCTCTCTACTTGGCCATTTCCTATCTACTAGGATTATATGCAGTTGTGTGGCTTGTTGTTATACCAAGTGAAGTTAAGAAGCATTTTAATTCACAAGACATAAATGAAGATCCTCTATCAGAATGTATGTAGGCTGGTATCCTAAAAATTGAGAAAATATTTTGCAGATGAGCAATAACAGTAGCAGATGACATATCAGGGCAAGGTATTGCAAAAGGGAATCTTGAAAACTTGTCCACAGTAGTAAAAAGGAAACGGTTCCTGGCAGCCGTAGGCAATAGGCAAAGGACCTTTGAAATCTAGATTTAGTCTTTCAAAAAATGTAGTTGCTTTAATTAAACGTCCCTTAGATTTATAGAAGTGAGGTTTTACTTCACTGCAGCATGCACATGAATTAACAGTTCTAATTTCTTCTTGTGAATAAGGCAATTTTTTTAATCTTATCCAGTGATACATTCGAGTTATTCCGGATGACAGAGGTCATCATGTAATGCCTTTAAATTTATTTGTGGTTTTATAGCTGCATTTATTCTTGATAAAGTGTCTGCAGTTTCATTTTTATATCCAGGGCGATACATAATATCAAATTTGAAACAAGCAAGTTCTAACTGCGAACCGGATATTTTCTCATTCTTAATTTTACTGGACTGCTGTTGATCAAACCTAAATGCCATGGATCTTTGATCGGTAAAAACTTCTTCGAAGTGCCTTCCAATTAAATAGTGTCTCCAGTTTCGTAAAGATTCAACAATAGCATATGCTTCTTTTTCAATAGAAGAGTATTTTAGTTCTGAAGAGTTTAGTGTTCTAGAGAAAAAAGCTATAGTAAGACCAGCTTGACTCAGGGTTGCTCCTATTGCAAAGTCAGAAGCATCAGTTTCAACTCTGTATGGTATATTATCCTCAATTGCAGCTCAAGAAGCTTTGGCTGTATCTCTCTTAAGAGAACTGAAGGCTTTCTCGGCATCTTTACTAAGAGGAAAAGGTCCTTTAGTCAAAAGAGGGCGAATCTTTTCAGAAAAATTGGAAATCCAATGGCAATAATAAGCAAACATTCCCAGTGCTCGCTGTAGAGATCCTACATCTTTAGGAATCGATAAATTCATTAGTGGTTTCAGTCTATCACGATCAGATGTTATTAGCTATAGAGCAGGCCAACAATTTTACAAATTTTGTAGAAAATGAGCATTTTTCCTCATTCAGGTTTAGGTTATATTTCTTATAAGCAGCCATAAATCTCTCCAAGTTATTATTATCAGCTTCATTCTTGCCACATATACTTACATCATCAAGATAGAGAAAGGTTTCTGATAATTTTCCATTTGAAATTATTTCATCAATTGTTCTTTGAAAAGAGGCAACTCCATTTGTTTCACCAAATGGAACATGTAGAAATTTATATAGTTTACTATCAGCTTCAATTCCGTGTATGGTTTCTCTTATTCTTTGATAGGAACCTGATGATAAGCACTTCGGAGATCAATATTTGTACTAAATTTTTTATATTTTGATACTTGTGAAATCAACTCTTCAATTTTGTAAAGAGGGTAAGCATCAAGCATAGTAAATTTGTTTATAGTCTACGAATAATCTATATCCATTCTGGATGTATGAAGTTCTCCTTTCACAACAAAAGCTTGTGCTCGCCAAAGAGAATTACTAGGTTTAATTACACTTTCTTTAAGTAATTTACATATTTCTGTAGCTATGAATGTTTTATCTTCTTCAGTTTGGCATCTTGTAACAATTGGTCTACAATCAGACGTTAAATTAGAGAACAATGACACAGGCTATAGGAGCAGTTTCTTTGAACAAATCCCAAGAGGTCGTCTGTCACCTTTAAATTCTATCTCAGAAGAATGATCTTTTAATAAATCATGCCCGATAAGATAGTCTGCACAGAGGTTTTTCATAATTAATACCTCAACATTAGTGTATACATGGGTTTGCAGTTTGATATTATCTAAACAGCCTCTAATATCTGAGCTTGGAGAAGAATTAGCCATGGTTATCCTACCAAAGTATGGTTTTACTTGAATTGGACATCTTTTTACAAAGCACTGATTTATAAATCTTAGTGAAACTATCGGTATCAATTAGGACAATCAGCTGAACTCCATTTACTAGCAGGCCCAACCAGCGGCCGAGCGGTAAAATCGCTGAACACTGGTAGTTCGGTCCGAGGTTCGAATCCCGCGAACGGGCTGGCTGCATGGGCGTTTTCGTGGTTTTCCCCATGTGTAACGTGTATACGAGCCAGTTTCCCTTAGAAAGTCCTCCACGAAGGCATCCCTTCCCTTAGGCAGATAGCCCCTAGTGTGCTTTGCCGTATTCTCAATACACACCATTTACTAGCACTTTAGTTATTGGCCTTTAAAGGCAGGGAGGAAGCATTGAAGCTGATACTAGTGTGCTAATATTCCATAAGCGGGATAAGTTGGCGCCAAACTATTTTGGCCTTCAAAATTTGGTGGCAATGAAAGCACTAAGATATGATTTTTAAACGTAAACAGAATAGTAACTTTTAGGTTTTGCAGTAGTGAAATGCCGTTATTTTATGTAAATAGAATAGTAAAATGAGATGATAAAATAATAGATGAGTAGAACAAAGTCCAACAGCTTTGCAAGTAAAAACGATACTATTCGGTTTCAAGGACCGTAAAAAATCGCCAAACTATTGTTGATGCCAATGCTGCCAAAAATAATTGCGGCAAGAAATGAAGTATAATAGTAAATAACTATTTAAGATTGATGTTTTAATTTAGATGAAAGGTTAACTTCATATAATGCTTTTTTATTATAATTTATATGAAAAAGACTAAACATGACTGAATGGAAGCATAAGAGTAAATAACTATTTCAGACCATTATTATAATTTGTATAAAAATTGCTAAACATAACTGAATGGATACCTGCATCGCTATTTCGCTACCGACTTATCGCTAAAGCATAATTTCATCTCGTTGGTTATTCCAATGTAATTTTGTATAATGAATGATGCCTTTTCTTTGAAAATATTCTCGATAAAGTGCAGAATCGCTCACTTATTTGTTTGCAGCTTTTTACAAGGGTAAAAATAATTGGACTTTTGTCAATTTTCTTTTACTTTTTAAATGAAAATAGGTCGATGTGTACATAGATAAAGTTACATAGATAGTACATAGAAAGTACATAGATAAAGTACATAGATAAAGTTACGAGTGTGCGCAATGCCATTTTTGTGCAATTCTAGAAATTTTTTTAAGTGAAAAATAGGTCGATGTGCACATGGATACAGAGTATGTGCAATTCTTAAAAACGCGTCAAGCAGTGGGTGATTCTGCACTTTACCCAAAATTCTATTGCCGACTTTTCGTCATGGGCAATTCCGAAATTGTTAAATCCATAGGATATCAAA